AGTGTTGAATGCTTTGCACAAGTCCAGGCAGTTGATGTCGGTTGCTTTTACTTTATCCACGAATGCTGTAACCCCATTGTGCTTGACAAATTTGGTGGCCTTCTACAACTTGCCCTTAGTGAAGCCATGTTGGCTGTCACCAATCACCTCCTTATTTTCCATGTGCCCAGTTTCCAGAAGGATCTGCTCCATGATCTTGCTGGGAACAGAGGGGAGAACGAGTGGCCTGTAGTTCCCCGGTTCCTCCCTTTTTCCCTTTTAAAATATGGGGGTTATGTTTCCTCTTCTCCAGTCAGCGGGAACTTCTCCAGTCTGCCATGGCTTAGCCATTTCATCTGCTTCATCTGTAGACTGAGAATTCTACCAGGGCATGATTGCTGCAGCCCAGGCTACCTCCAATCTTGCCCTCTGATAGCAAGCAAGAGGTCCAGCAGTGCCTGTCCTCTGGTCGGGCTCTCAATCACCTGTACTGGGAAGTTGCCCTCAATGCACTCCAGTAGTTTCCTGGACTGCTTGCAGTTCACTGTGCTGCTTTTCCAGCAGATGTCTATGTCTGGGTGGCTGAAGTCCCCTATCAGGATCAGGGCCTGCATTTCTCATTTATTTCATATTAGCCTTTTAACAAACTCTTGCTGACACTTTTTTTAAAAGAGAGTTTGTAAATAAGCATGAAAAAAAATCTGAAACTTGTCAGTTTCGTAATGTAAAGAGCAGTTGCACACATTTGAAAACAGTTTTGTTTGGGATCTTGACTTGCAAATGAGATCAACAAGATTCTGAAGTCAGAGTCAGGTCCCTCTTCTAACAAGTATTATGCCAATCAGTAATTCCACTGAACGAAAAGGGGAGCATTATAGTTCAATTTTGCAGTCAGTTCCACTTAGAGCTCACATAAATGTATCTCCCACCCTGTTGTGACATCAGTGCCTGCTTTTCAATAAATTGGATACTCCAGACTCAACAGGCTCTAGACACTGCTCAGACGATAAGAAGTACGTCCAACACGTGCATTAGCAGCAGCGTGTCAGAGAACAAACCAGCAGGCTGAGGGTAGTTTAGTGCCAACCAACTTCCTGAAACCTAGATGCTGTGCTAAATATTTTTTTCTAGCCTTCACTTGAAGAAAAATCTAATCCAATCTAAACACAATACTCATCCAGTTACAAAAGCCATTACATCGGTTGGGCATACACCTGCAATTTTCTTTTAGGGAGGGCAAGGGGAAGGTTCCTGCTATGCACCACTTGGGAATAGTTTTAGACAAAGCAGTTTCACTGACAGGATAGATGAGCTGTGAAACTGTTCTTCCCAAAGTCTTTTACTCTAGTTTTCCTTAGTTCTCTGGATAAGCCATAGTAGAACTGTCTTCTTGTTTGGAAAACATTATAGAAATCTTTCCTTCAACACGCAGTTACTGTTTTTCCCCAGTTTTGTATTAATGGCTCTTCATTGTTACAACCAAGGAATTTTATGAGTTGAGAGACAATAGGATGCAAGGGAGTGCGGGGGGAAGTAGCTGAATGGACCTAGTGAGTCAAATTTAGCTCCCTGTCCACACAGGACTCTTACCTTCAGCAAAGGTATTATTTCCCATTTTAGCATTAAACACCCTCTACACAATGCCATTCACGGTCACAAACGGAGTATTATTCCACAGCCTCTTCTATTTTAGTCACAAAACATTATCCTGACACTCAGGTTTTCTGCCCATTCACCTTACTCATGTTAAACAAAACACTATTGGGTGTACCGACTTAATTCCCCATTCTACACTTAATCAGATACTGTGGCTCAACCAGGTTATACCACCAGTTAATTCCTTCAATTCTTTTAGTCTCTTTTACTGACATTTTTACTGACATTTCATATAATGTAACAGTATACTGGAGGAGTTCACACCATAAAAATACACAAAGTAAACATCTTAACCAAACACTAACAAAAAGACAAATTCAGAATTAAAGATTAAATTTGCAAGAATCCACAGACCTTCCATAAAGAAATTTGGTTCAACGGCTTCCAACTCCGCATGCCGTTCACGAGCAAAGACACTGCACAGGCCTACCGCTAGCTGCGCATGAGGTCAACACCTCAGACCAACGGCTGACTGCTCAGAGATGGCATCCTATGCACCTACTCAAAACCTTCTTATTAAAGAGGACACATTACCTGGACTTCTCTGCTTGCAGATTTGAGCAGTCAGATCTTGTACGTACTCCGGGAATTGTTTAAAGCAGTCCCCATAGGACACTACTTTTATCCCGTGCAGCAGCATATCTGCCTGGAGCTTAAAAAAGTGGTCTTCATTTTCTTTAAGCACCAACATATAATGTTCTAAATCCACTTTATTCTTTACAGTGTAAAGAAAAAGAGCTTGGAATATCTGATCACGCAGAGTCTCTCCGCAGCCCAAAAACAAAAAAGACTTTGTTCGATACAAATTTTGAAGAACTTCCTGTGAAGAAACAGAAACACGCAAGAACTACATTCACTTCAGTTGTCAAAGGCCAGGCTTAAAAGGAGAAGCAGAGCAGACACCCCTACTGAACTGAATTAAGCGTATGTTTTAGGATCAGGGCAAACTGGCATTTCATAATCACTGCTTCTACAAGAAAATTTATATTCAAACACAAAGTTACCAAATCGAAGTATTTCCAGTAAGGGAATTTTAAATTGAACGAATTATGATGACAGAATATTAGGCTCCCGTTAGGTCAATCTGTAAATACAGAAAATTAATATTTTTGACCAAATGTTTGACTTCTTAAAATACCCAAAATATGACATTAAGTCCAGGATCCAGAGCTGGTAACAGCGTAAGCCCCTAAAAATGAATCCAAGCAATCAGATGGTGATGAATCCTTGTTCTGGTGTCTAGCATTTTGGGGCTAATGTTCTTTCATGAGACAAATACAAACAACTAAAACCACGACATACAGCTGAGGGTTTTGATTGTGACTTACGAAGAAGCAGTATACGAGAGCGTACGCTGCCCTAGCAACACAGCTGGCTTTCTGAAGACTACTGCCATTTTTCTGGGCCACAATTATTAAACCTATACGATCTGACAAAACCCTAACCTTAGGGAATGCGTATGCAGTGATTGTAGTAAAACAGTTTGGCAAAACAAGTAAATATTTTAAAGATCACACGAACCATGACTTCAGGATCTTGAGTAACATCTTTATATCCTGAGGGATCTAGCACCATTCCACAGGGATCCGTATACAAGCCGTGAATGTGAAGAACTCCATACTTTATATGCCCTCTTGCCCACTGAAGAACCTAAAGCGAATCATGCACGTTACATTTGTTTGTTACGGATCTCTACAATAATGGAGATTCTGCAAAAATATACAGCTGTCCTCACTTATAAAACCACTTAAAGAAGAAAGAACTTCGTTTGCACTTTTCTGCAGCAAGAGAGAGTTTTAATTACTACCGACACAGCTTACTTTAACTTAGAACAAAGAAGTGGCTGCCGATACTGAAGGTATCTCTGGCTTTTTGGTCTAAACAAGAATTCAACCAAGAAGCAAGCTCCAGCAACGCAGACAGAAAAAGATATCAACAGCAAATTAACTACCAGCTAGGTGAAATCATATTTGTGACTGTAACAATTATTTCACACAAGTTAAGTAAGTTTGTGGGTTTTTTCCAGGGAGTGTGGGGGGGAATTGCTTAATAAATGTGTCACTGAAATTCTCTGGTAACCATTACCAGATTATTCAGAATAAAAAGACACATAAAATAAATGTCTGTGCATCTGCTGTTAGCTTACAGACATGCTTTTCCAATTAAAAAGTTTTAGCTGGACACTCTTTAAACAGGAAAACATCTTTCAATGAAGCTCACAAGCTGCCTTCTCTTACAAGTCTAAAAATTTTACTGCTCTCATCATACCTTATCCTTATCTTTCAAGTCTAAAGATTCCATAGGTTTACCCTGTTGCTGACCAAATATTTCAAGTAAATTATCATAGTTCGTAGTCAGAACCATTGTGCCTCTCTCCATGAGTCTCAGGATTGATTGCAGAATGACAGGATTCTGAATGTGTTGTTCTAAATTATCAAACACCTCCATTAAGCAATCCTGGAAGAAGTTGGGCTTTGTATCCCCAGTACGCTGAAGAAAGAGAAAGATGAACCCTTTGTAAGGACCACGGGCACCATTACAATTGCATCCAAAAGAAAACCTTCATCATTCTTCTATTTAATGCCAAAGCACCTCTTTAAAAGAGGGCTTACATAGTATACAAAGCATAAAGGTCCAAATGTACAAAACCATCAAAACCAATCCCAAATTATTCAGGTGTTCTTGCCTCCATTTAATGTAGCTTAAAATAAGTCTGGTTTTCTCAAGGAACCTTGTAATACAGGTACAACAGAACAAAACCATTCTGCTACAGTTAAATCCTCACTCATCGCTTCTAAACAAGCATGAAGGCATGCTTTTCTAAAAGCATAGCCTGCAGTTGCCCCGAGTATCTGCTCAGACTGACAGGAACATGTAACGATTCTGTAAAACACACAGGCTTCCTATTCAAGACATTGTATTACACACAGAACATACGTCTGTTTACAGGGCCAATATAGCTACTGGCCTAAACTACATAGAAACCTCACCTTTCTCAGTATGCTTTTACTGCTTTGAAAATCGGTTAGTGTACTAAAATCATCATTCCCTGGATTCAGAGGCTAGGACATACTATTAAAGGGTTGGGAATGTATGATTCATTAGATCTGCTGCAAAGCCTAACCGTACACGCAGACTCCTCCCAACAGAGGTTATTATTACACTTGGCCTCCAGAGAAGCTCACCGCGTGTTGCGAAACGCTCAGCACGTCCCGCAACTTAGCGGTACGTAGGTCACCCTGATCATTTCAGCTAGAAGACGGGGCAAACCTATTGACACAATCTGAAAACCGCTGGCACCCAAGATGAACAGCTGAGACACTGGGCATGTACTGACCCTCTTCGGTGAGGTGTGAGCTGCAGCGGGGATTGTGTCGGTGTGACCGAAGGCTATCAGTAGGGTCAAGGTCTACCTGCATTTTCAGGGTATCTCTAGTTTTAGCCAGCAGAGCTATAAATTCCTCTTTCAGTTCCAAGAAACGTTATCGCAAATATTCACTAATGCAAGCAGAAGTCCTGACCAATTATGGAGAAAGCTTACTTACACAAAAAAACAAGGATTATTTAGTCTCTCCAAAACGTACAGTATACTATACAATTACCATCAACATTTCAATTTTTAGAAAGCTGAAAAGAATTTCTGTTGCTAACAAAATAAAAGTATATAAGAATTTTAGAGATCGGTATAAGTTACAAACATACTCACTGGTGACATTTTCCTGATGAGATCATGTGCAACCACAAGTAGGTCTCTATCTTTGACTACTTTTTTACGAAATTCAGCAACGTCTCCTGGATGAAGCACCTCCAGCTGCTCAGCTGCTTCGATCACAGCCTCAATGCAGCTTCTCCAGGAACACAGCGCTGGTATTCCTGGTGCTACTGCAGCACTTACTCCCGTTCCAATTACAAGAAGAAGGTCCCGAGGCTGCTTTCTTATTAGACTTTTTAAGAATTTTCTTTAAAACAGAAAACAAAAAAACTTCATTTTTTTTACTGTGCATTTTCTAACTTGTCTGAAGATCTTAATGACTGACTGAAGGAGTCCGTATAAACTATTAACACTTGTGCAAAATACTAACCAACCAAACGGAACAGAGTTCTCCGTTTCTACGCAGAAGAATGGTATTGGCAGCAGTTCACAGCCTTCCCCAAACCGACAATGTACTTGTAAGACTTGTAAGTCTTTCTGTCATTTTAAACAAGTAAGTGTGCATAATTAATTTAAGCAAAAAAAATGGCAACAACTTCAAATCACTAATGTCTTTGAGATCTGTCCTGGTTTGGCTGGGCTAGAAGCACAGCCCAGCCATGCCAGGCAGCCTGTTCTCAGTTTTGAGCCAGCCAGGGCAGCTGACCTGAGTTAGCTCAACCCATAATGTCATGGTCACTACAAAGGGGGAAGGTTGGCTGAGGAGAGGGAGCTCCTGTGGGGTTCCTTGGGCTCCTGAGGACTGTTCTGCTGTTGATTGTGACCACTGTATATTCATCTCGCTGAGTATAACTCTGTACACCTTTGTTGGTATCAGTGCTGTTTCATTAAATCTGTTTTCAGTTCAACCCATGGGTCTCCTCTCCTTTTCCCAGTTCCCCTTCCTGGCTGGCAAGGGGTCACTGGGTGATAGATCAACTGTTATAATTTAGTCCCAGACAAAGGCTAAACATAGACAAGATCCAAATTGACAATTACCAATTTTCAGTCCACTGGGCTAGCTGAACACCATTTCAAATGCAATTTTGACAAAAGTAGTCAAAGGACTGTCCAATTATTACTGAATACACATCTGATATAAAGCAAGTAGAACTATTTCAAAGGGACAAGTCACGATATTTCAAATAAACAAACTCAGTTTTTTTCTGGGAAAAAGCAGTATCTTTCATTCCTCTTTATTCTCACTTTAGGATGGATGAACATACTAACACTGGTTCAGATCAAGGGTTCATCTAGCCCACTCTTCAAATGATACTAACCACAGATTACTCTCACGGGCGTATTTGGTTCTACATCGGCAAGCACACCGCAAGCCAGCACAGGAAACTCGAGAAAGTCTGGCTTCCACAATTACTTTGCAAAGAAGTGAAAATGCATTTAAACCATACAGTGAAGTCTCTGTATACAAACAAGGATTTCAGTAACACAGCACCTTAGAATTCCCTTGACACTGAAAACTACCTTCACAGATTTTTAGTTCCTGTTAATATGGACGTTTAACACCTCTTATTTCCCAATCACCTGAAACTATCTAGCTAAAACTGTAATGTTTAACTCGAAATGGCCTCAGGCAAAGCAATTAATAAACATAAGGTTGCTAGTTAATGCCTACAAAGAATATATTGCTGACAATCCCCATGCTTTCCTGCTACATTCAGCACAGATTGTTTCCTCTCAGCAACTATGTTATTTATTCCTTACAAACAGTTTCACTGGGTATGAAGCGCTTGGTCAGTAGAAAAACTAGTTTCTGGGATCATTTCACGTTTTCAAGCGTGATGTTGTTCTCCTATCCAATTTTCAGTAACACATTTCCACTGTGTTTTCAGATTTTCATTAAGAGACAGTTTTTTATAACCTTTGCAACACAAGTTACCTGGATTTCTGCTCACTTCTAATTGTTGATCGTTCTGATGAATCCATCTCTGAGCCCTAAATACAACAAAAAGTAAAATAATTCTTAATGCTTCTACCTTAAAAAAGGCCAAAATTAAAACCAGATGTATTACTGTTAGCATTTTCTGTTTATTCTCATAAAGTATTTTAAAATCAAGACTCTGTATGACACATCCCAGCTCAGCAATGCACTGACAGAAACAAAGCTGACAAAGTATGAGTGTGTAAACCTATCACAGCTCCATTTAAGCTTAGTCAATTGACATTTTAAGGCTAATGGGGAGATGGCTATTGATGCAGCTGAAAAATACTTGTGTCTAAATTCACGATAAAATTTTTCATACTCGCTAAAATGTTAATTAATTTCAAGTAAATGAATGCATTTCTTGAATTTTTTTTTCATAAATATCAGTTGACTCAACCAAGTTTGTAGAAACCAGACTTCTGCAACACATAATGATCACGAGAGGCCCTCTGCTAGCCACCGGGCAGCTCTACCAGGCCATATAACATGAAAGATTTTTTTCTCAGCAAGTATTTTAAATAAAAACTTATTTGTTTATCATCTATATTGTCTCATGTCTAAAGGATAAGGACCGCATCTTGGCAAGAGAATTTGGCTACAGTATCATCACTTAGAAGTCCCCACATTTCATTACATTAATTATTGGTTTTGTTTTTATAAGGACATATTTTTTGTTTGGCTTTGAAACACATTTTAGTTTGTGGTTGTGGAGATTGCAGACTGCAGACCCTAATCCCTCAAATAAGCATTCTGACAGACCCCATGGCTTTATAAGCCTACATGCCAGCTCCCAGGTTCACATGCTAGAAGCCAATTTGGAAGCAAGAGGCCTAAGCTTGGAGACCATTTGACTGAAAAAAACCCTAACCACCAAGCAACCAAAAAAAACCCCAAACCAAAAACAACAAGAAAAATATCCCCACAACAAAGACAAGAACAAAACCAAGAAAGCCCCACCCTATGATAGAGGGACATCAGCATTTCTGAGGAAAACACACAGATCTCTTCTGCAAATGCACCCAGGATGTATTTTCAAGTGGAAAAATCTTTTCTTGTTGTAATACTTATTTTCTCCATGCTCCCTTCCTTCACTGACAGTATCCTACAAAGATGCTATGCTATCTATCACAGAACCACAGAATGTTAGGGGTTGGAAGGGACCTCAAAAGATCATCCAGTTCAAACCCCCTGCCAGAGCAGGGCCACCCAGAGTAG